AGCATCTGGCTGCTGGAGCCTGGGTCACATCCCCTCTACCCAGCTGCCAGTGGAAAGGGAAAACGAATATTGCCTTGTGTGTATCTTGGGATCTGCTGCAAATCATCAGGGTGTTTATACTGAGCAAACAAAACCAAAAATGTCAATTACTGTTGCTGATAATCCTTGAGCACTAGATATGCGCTAGGGGCCCAGCCAACTGCTTCGATGTATATTATTTGATTTTTTACTTTGAATTTGCATTTCTTTTATGTTGAGAGCCATAAGTTTTTGCCTCTTTAGTTTCTTCTGGGATATCTTTTTCTTTTTTTTAAAGTTCAAGTTTAAATTTATTTTTATTTTTTAAACTATTTTATTTATTTGAGAGAGTTACAGACAGGGAGAGGGAGCGACAGAGAGAGAGAGAGGTCTTCCATCCACTGGTTCACTCCCCACTGGGCCAATGCAAAGTCAGGAGCCAGGAGCTTCTGCTGGGTCTCCCACACAGGTGCAGGGGCCCAAGCACTTGGACCATCTTCCACTTGGGCCATAATGGAGCTGGATCGGAAGAGGAGCCCCGAAGACTTGAACTGGCAACCATATGGGATGCAGATGCCGCAGGCCGAGGCTTAGCTCATTATGCCCTGGGATATCTTTTGCTTCTTTTTTTTTTTTTTTTTGACAGGCAGAGTGGATAGTGAGAGAGAGAGAGACAGAGAGAAAGATCTTCCTTTTGCCGTTGGTTCACCCCCCAATGGCCGCCACGGCTGGCGCGCTGCGGCCGGCGTACCCATGGGGTGCAGGGCCTAAGAACTTGGGCCATCCTCCACTGCACTCCCGGGCCACCGCAGAGAGCTGGACTGGAAGAGGGGCAACCGGGACAGAATCCGGTGCCCCAACTGGGACTAGAACCCGGGGTGCCGGCGCCGCAGGTGGAGGATTAGCCTAGTAAGCTGTGGCGCCGGCCTCTTTTTTTTTTTTTTAAAGATTTATTTATTTATTTGAAAGGCAGAGTTATACCGAGAGAGAAGAAAAGGCAGAGAGAGAGAGAGAGGTCTTCCATCTGCTGGTTCACTCCCCAACTGGCTGCAATGGCCGGAGCTGTGCGGATCCGAAGCCAGGAGCCAAGAGCTTCCTCTGGGTCTCCCACGTGGGTGCAGGGGCCCAAGGACTTGAGCCATCTTCTACTGCTTTCCCGGGCGACGGCAGAGAGCTGGATTGCAAGTAGAGCAGCCGGGACTCAAACCGGCACTCATATAGGATGATGGCACTACAGGCGGCGGCTTTACCCGCTGCGCCACAGCGCCGTCCCCCAGATCAGGAAGATTTTAATCTCTTGAATTGCACGATTTCGTGGGGTGTTCTGGGTCAAGTGAGTAGCAAACTAATTTTGCAGATCACCTGAGGCTGTTTATAGGAAGAGCTAGTATTTGACTTAATCCTTGAAACAGCCCTTTAAGTTGGAGACTTATCCCCATTTTGTAGATGGGGAAATTGAATATGCCTTTGGTCACCTAGTTGACAAATAAGGGGTGGGGCTTAGATTCGGTCCCAGCTTCATTGGACTCCAGAGCATGTACTTGTCCACCGTGCTCCAGAATGGCCAAGAATAGGGGTGGCCGCTTGGTGCAGTGGTTGAGATGCCTGTTAGGATGCTCACATCCCATATCAGAGTGCCTGGGTTCAAGTCCTGGCTCAGCCTTCAATTCGAGCTTCCTATTAATGCACACTCCAGAACATAGCAAGGGATGATTCAAATAGCTGGGTCCCGGCCACTGATCTAAGAGACCCAGATGGAATTGGAGGCGCCTGGATTCTGCCCATAACCCAGCCTTGGCTGTTGTAGGCATTTGGGAAGTGAACCAGCAGAAGGAAGAGCTCTCCCTCTGTCTCTGTGTCTCTGCTTTTCGAACGTGCATGCATGCATACAAACATACATACGTAAATGTAGAAGATTCTAGATATATTACTTGCTTTGTGGAACAGCAGGTTAAACCACCACTTGGGATGCCAGCATCCCATATCAGAGCATTGCTTCAAGTCCCAGCTACTCTGCTGCCCATCCAGTTTCCTTTCCTGCTAATGTGCCTGGGGAGACAGCAGACATAGCTCTCTGCTGTGGCCTGGGAAAGCAGTAGACGATGGCCCAAGTGCTTGGGCCCCGCACCCACGTGGGAGACCCGGAAGAAGTTCCTGGCTCCTGGCTTTGAATCAGCCCAGCTCCAGCCATTGTGACCAGTTGGGGAGTGAACCAGCAGATGGAAGATCTCTCTCTCTCTCTCTCTGCCTCTCCTTCATTCTCTGTGTAACTCTGACTTTCAAATAAATAATCTTTTTAAAAAATTAAAAAGAAACAATAGAAGACATGATAAATATTTTGAGTTATGATGTAAAACTTCTTTGTTTTATTAAAGATTTATTTATTGGCCAGCGCCACGGCTCACTAGGCTAATCCTCTGCCTGCGGCGCCGGCACCCCGGGTTCTAGTCCCGGTTGGGGCGCTGGATTCTGTCCTGGTTGCTCCTCTTCCAGTCCAGCTCTCTGCTATGGCCTGGGAAGGCAGTGGAGGATGGCCCAAGTGCTTGGGCCCTGCACCCGCATGGGAGACCAGGAGGAAGCACCTGGCTCCTGGCTTTGGATCAGCACAGTGCGCCGGCCGTAGCAGCCATTTGAGGGGTGAACCAATAGAGGAAAGACCTTCCTCTCTGTCTCTCTCACTGTCTAACTCTGCCTGTCAAAAAAAGAGATTTATTTATTGTTATTTATTTGAAAGACAGAGTGACAGAGAAAGAAAGAGGGAGAGAGAGAGAATCTGCCATCAGCTGGCTCACTCCCCAAATGGTAGTAACAGCCGGCAGTGATCCAGACAGAAGCCAAGAGCCTGGAACTCTACCTGGGTCTCCCATGTGCTGCCAGGGGCCCAAGTAATTGGGCCATCATCTGCTGCCTTCACAGATACATTAGGAGGGAGGTGGATTGGAAGCCGAGCAGCCAGGGCTCAAACCAGAGCTCCAATATGGGATGCCAACCCTGCAAGCAGAAGGTTTAACCCATTGTGCCACAATACTAGTTCTCAAAATTTATTATATTAAAAAATAGTAGCACCATGAGCACAGTTAGAAGAGTAACTAGCAAGGAGTATTTGTAGTAGGTGACAAATTTTTAGTATCTGCGGTGTATAAAGAAGTCTTATTAATCCATAGGAAAAGATAACCACAGCAACTGAAAACTACACAAAGGCCATGAACTGGCAGTTCACAAAGCAGGAAACAGTAATGGCCAATAGACTAAGGAAAACACTCAATATTTCTAAAGAAGCACAAATTCAAAAACTGAGATAGTGGCATATAGTTTTTTTTAACCCATCAAGCTGGTTTTCCACACACACACACACACACACACATATGCATTTTATTTACTTATTTATTTATTTATATTTTTTAACAGGCAGAGTGGACAGTGAGAGAGAGACAGAGAGAAAGGTCTTCCTTTTTCCATTGGTTCACCCCCCAATGGCCGCCGCAGCCGGTGCACCGCGCTGATCCGAAGCCAGGAGCCAGGTGCTTCTCCTGGTCTCCCATGGGGTGCAGGGCCCAAGCACTTGGGCCATCCTCCACTGCCTTCCTGGGCCACAGCAGAGAGCTGGACTGGAAGAGGAGCAACTGGGACAGAATCCGGTGCCCCGACCGGGACTAGAACCTGGGGTGCCGGCGCCGCAGGTGGTGGATTAGCCTATTGAGCCACGTCTCCTGCCTATTTATTTATTTTTAAAGATTTATTTACTTACTTAAAAGGCAGAGTTGCAGAGAGAGAGAGAGGGAGAGAGAATCTTTCACCCACTGGTTTACTCCACAAATGGCCACAATGGCTGGAGCTGGGGGAGAAGATGGGCTGAAAGCCAGGAACCAGGAACTTCCTCCAGGTCTCCCACATGAGTGCAGGAGCCCAAGGACCCAGGTCATCTTCAGCTGCTTTCCCAGGCACATTAGCAGAGAGCTGGATTGGAAGTGGAGCAGCCGGAACTTAAACCAGTGCTCATACGGTATGCTGGTACTGCAGGTGGCGGCTTTACCCACTACACCACAGCGCCAGCCCATATTTTTGTTTTTTGAAAAGATTAATTTATTTGAGAGGCAGAATTACAGCAAGAGGAGGGGGGTGGGGGGGTGGAGAGAGAGAGAGAGAGGTCTTCCACCAAATGGCCACAAGGGCTGGAGCTGGGCTGATCTGAAGCCAGGAGCCTTCTGGCTCCATGCAGGTGCAGGGGCCCAAACACTTGGGCCATCCTCCAGTGCCCTCCCAGTGGACTGGGCACTAACAGTTGCCCATATGGGATGCCGGCACTGCAGGCGGAGGCTCAACCCACTATGCCATAGCGCTGGCCTGGCCTAAGGCCTTTTTAAGGATTAGGATACTGCTCTGTCCTTCCCCAATGTAAGCTTGTAGGGGCAGGCTGGGGCGGGGTGGGGGAAAGAGATGGGGGTTGGGGCCTTTGCCTCCCTCTATGGCTCCCTGTAGTCACTGCTTAAAGATGAAGGTGACTCCTCAGTGGCCAGCATTTGGCCAAGTGGAAAGAGGTGGCCCTGTCTTGGAGTGTGTGTGTGTGTGTGTGTGTGTGTGGTTTGTGTGGTGGAGTGGACGGGAGGCGGGAGGCGATAACGGGCAGAGAAGTGGGGGCTCATATTACAGGCACTAACACACCCGGAAGATTTGGTTCCTTCTCCCACATCTCCTTAGGAAAAGGCCCAGAAAGTCCCATAGTAGCTTCAGGATAGATTTTCCATGCGCTCATAAAGGCTTTTTAGACTCCAGTGATCCTCTGCCCACCTGGGCAAATCAAAGACAGGGATGAAAAAATTAAAAAATAAAAAAGAGAAAGCTCATGGTGTTTATAGTACTGATGCCAGTGGCATCAGAGACAGAAACCCAAGCGACAACATGGAGGAAGTGACACCGTAAAAGAAAAAAAGGAAGCTGAGCACATGCTATTCCTGAGAAACTTTGCCTTTTCTTCTCTGTAGTGGAACAAGCCCAAGGGGGCTTTCAGTGTGGTCAAGGACGCGGACTACAAGAAAGAACCAAAGAACAAGGAGAGAGCGTGGACATCAAGAGTCAGGTGAGAACACACACACACACACACACACACACACCAGACTGGATTCAAAAGGTCACAGGTGGTCAGCCCAGGAAGGCTTCTGGGAGCAGGTGAGACGTGAACGTGGACTTGGAGCATTTAGGTTTGGAGAGTGGTGGGGAGGCCATCCTAGGCTACAAGAGCATCATGAGTTCATGTTGCCGGGAGGGTGGCGAGGGACAGAAACAAAGGCTGCAAAGAGTGATGTTTGTGGAGGGGGGGCAGGGAGCAAAGGAGGCTATGAGTTGCAAGGTCATTGCAGAGATCAGAAAAGAATGTACCCTACTGGTGGGGGCCAGGAAAGAGACTTTGTTTGTCTTTTGAGAACTCCCTGGGCCCTGGAGCCTGTGGGGGAGGCTTGCTTTCTTTTCTCACCCCCTGGACTCAGGCATCCTCCTCCACCCTGCATCATGCCTGCAGGGCCAAGAGGACCAAGAGGCAGCGTCTAGGATGAGCCCAATCCCATGGTCAAAACTCAGTGGGGTTATTTTACAATCGCACTGTGAGCATGCATGGCACTGCGCGCGTGTGCGTGCGTGCGCATGTGCATGCCACACATAAAGCGCGCCTTCCATGCTGTAAAGTGGAAGCAGAGCAGGCAGCAGCAGCTGGGCAGCCTTGAAGACAGGCTGCAGGGCACAGGATCGGGATTCAAATCCCAGCTCTGCCACTGCCCCTTCAGCTCTGCAAGCGTGGCGTGCTCATCTATCAAATGAGGGAAACAGTCTCTGCTCCCCCAGGCCATGCTGCCCCCCAGGAGCCTAAATTCCCATCCCCCCTAAGTCCTGGCTTCTTTGTTCCAAGGCGGTCCAAGGCAGTGCTAGGCACTGTTTGTGTGGGAGGGGGGATATGACCCTGAAGCAGAAACAAATGTGGTCAAATTTCCACCCTTGGGGAGTCTCCGCGATGGGATGGGCGGGTAACATCCTGTCCACTTGTTTGTGCCATGCTTTTGAAACAAGCTACCAAAAGCAGCAGGAGTAGATGTCTACAAGGAGGCGCATGTGTTCCACAGGAGAACAAGGCAGGCACTAGGTTTGATGCAAGGCAGAATGTGCACGGAGCTGGTGGCCTCTGACAGCTTCCTAGAGAACAAGGTAAGGGGCCAGGGCGGCTGCAGGGTCTCAGTTCAGGAAAAGTTGCCAACAGCTGAGAGTCGGAACAGAGTACCTCCTCTCTGGTGCTTTGAGGTGAGGTGGTAGGCTGGGTGTGGTAGGAGGGAGAACACATTAACCCCTTAGCCCTCTGAAAGGCTTCGTTGATTAAGTTAACTTGTTTGCTGTTCAAGTATGGAGCCAGGAGGGGGCCTGTTTGAGGGCTCTGTTGGGAGGTGCCGAGGAAGGAGAATGCCCCTGGAGAACTAATTGGTGATGGTCGCTAATCCAACTGCAGGTGCAGCATGGGGGGTGCGGGTGGGGGTGGGGGTGAGATGGGGTGCACGCTGGTGGCCAGAGGTTGGTGGGGCTCTACTTCAGGCCTTGGGTTCAGGGCAGAATTCACCAAGAGGCAAAAGGGTCCCCGAAGAATAAAACTTTTTCTGCTCCTGACACCTCAGACTGTCAAGGGTCAGAAATCTGCAAAGCTGTTTTCATTCCTTCCTGGGTACCTAAGTAATCTTTTTTTTTTTTTTAAGACCTATTACGTTATTTTGAAAGAGTTACACAGAGAGAGAGGGAGAGATGGAGAGAAGGAGACATAGATCTTCTCCCCCAGAAGGCTGAAACAGCCAGGTGTAGGCCAGGCTGAGGCCAGGAGCTTCATCTGGGTCTCCCATGTGGATGGCAGGGGCCCAAGCACTTGGGCCATCTTCCACTGCTTTCCCAGGCACATTAGCAGGGAGCTGGATCGGAAGTGGAGCAGCTGGGACTGGAACCGGCACCCATGTGGGATGCTGGCGTCGCAGATGGTGGCTTTACCTGCTGCGCCACAGTGCCGGCCCCTTAAGTATCCTATTCAAGTTGGGGAAGGAGCGGCACGTGAATTCACTCTCTCTGCCCAACTCCTTATCAGCACAGGAAGATGCTTTGAATGGACCCCCCCCCCTTTCAGATAGAGAGCAAGATTCTGCTGGAACAGAAAGGATGGGGGGCATAGAGGAAGTGTCCAGGATGGAGCCCAGGTCTGGCAAGTGAGGAAGCAGACTCCTTGTGGCCGAGAACTGGCCTCAGCAGGTGACCCAGAGGAGGGCAGGCAGCAAAGAGCAACAACTTCATCTAGGTCACAGTTACTTCTTCAGGCTGTCCCTGTGGCGTAGTGGTTAAGCCTCTGCCTGTAGCTCAAGCATCCCATATGGACACCAGTTCGAGTCCCAGCTGCTCCACTTCCGATCCAGCTCTCTGCTATGGCCTGAGAAAGCAGTGGTAGATGGCCCAAGTCCTTGGGCCCCTGCATTCACGTGGGAGACCCGGAGGAAACCCCGGCTCCTGGCTTCAGCCTTGGCCCAGCCCCGGCTGTTGCAGACATCTGAGTAGTAGACCAGCAGATGAAAAACCTCTCTCTGTGTGTCTCCCTCTCTGTCTGTAACTCTGCCTCTTAAATAAATAAATAAATCTAAAAAAAATAGAGAGGAGGCAACGGAGAAGACCCCACAGTTCTCTCCACAAAGGTGAGCGTGGCTGGCTGGGGAAAGATACACAGAGCAGGGCCCAGCTGGTCCCCACCTGGCAGAGGTGCACAGAGAGAAGACCCCAGAGTCCAGCAACCCTGGCACAGGGCAGTCAGCTCTTAAGGACTTAAGGTTAAAGGGACGGCCTTACGAGGTTGGAGTTAACCAACTCCAAACATCTCTTCACCCGTTCTATTTGGGGGCCCAGAAACACTAGAGGCCATGCCTGGTGACCATGTTCATCTAGAATCTAGCAACCATCAGGAAATTCTTTTTTATTTATTTATTTATTTTTTGACAGGCAGAGTGGACAGTGAGAGAAAGAGACAGAGAGAAAGGTCTTCCTTTACTGTTATTCACCCTCCAATGGCCGCTGCGCTGATCCGAAGCCGGGAGCCAGGTGCCTCTCCTGGTCTCCCATGGGTGCAGGGCCCAAGCACTTGGGCCATCCTCCACTGCACTCCCCGGCCATAGCAGAGAGCTGGCCTGGAAGAGGGGCAACCAGGACAGAATCCAGTGCCCCGACCGGGACTAGAACCCGGTGTGCCGGCACCGCAAGGCGGAGGATTAGCCTATTGAGCCACGGCGCCAGCCAGGAAATTCTTTATCATCTTTTCTTGAGGGTCTACCGTATGCAGGGTACCTTATTATTGTCAATGACAGACAACAAACAATCATTTCGGATGTGGCAGGCCCAACGCTAACAGCTTCACTTGTATTAATCTCAGTTCACTCTGCTAACAACCCTGTGAGATAGGTATTATTGTTCCCATTTTACAGAATGGGAAAACAGAGACTCAAGAGAAATGAAATTACTCAAGGAAGACTGTACAACTAACAGGTGATAAGGGCAGGATTTGAACTCAGGTCTTGTTGGCTTCCAGGCCCAGGGACTGTGTTCAAACAGTCCACTACTCAGCCTCCAGCATGCTTTGCTGCCTTGCTTCTCACTACCCTATGCCTACTTCCAATTAGTAGATTAGTCATGTGTTGACACTTCTAGTCTCAGTCTAATGGCTTGTTTATTTAACTGATGGATGCTGCTCCCCATTTGAGGCCATTAGCATTTAAACAAAACAAAACAAAACTGTTGAGCCTGGCAAAGTGACACTGTGTTTACTGTTTTTCTCCCAGTGTTAATTGTGAGCATTTTCTAAATATGTATTTTGATGTGCTAACTGTCCCTAAAGAGACTACAGTTTAGTAGTTTCTCGCAGCTCCAGCCCCACTCCCCTTCGTCTCCTCTCTCAGAGGGAGAAGCCTTGGCTAGGACGGGGAGGAGGGACGGTGACAGCCTGGGTCTCTGAATCCTTAAGAGGCAGAGGAACTGGGCTGGGCGGGTGACTGTTCTTGGGGGCTAAGCCCGGGAGTCTGTCCTCCAACACACACACGCTCGCTCGGGGAGGGAATTTGGTATTTCTTTCCAGGACAATAAGAACATCTGTGCCAAGGCAGAGGAGGAGGCCGGGCGCTCCGAGGCATCTCTGCCGGAGTCTCTTGACACTGTCCGATTGTGTTTTCAGTCTCTGCTTGGATCACTGACCGTGTCCACTGAGAGTGAGCTGACTTGGGTGAAGACAGTGTGGGGCCGAGGGAGGACAGAGGAGCAGCCCTCTGGCTGGGGCCAGGAGAGTGAGGTGGGCAGGGAGCCGGGCAACGCTCTCATACTCTGAAGTCAGCAGGTGACTTGTTTGTTTTTGCAGACTGCTGCAAGTATGGGGTGAATCTCGCAAGAAATGCCCCTCTTGTCCCCGTCTCCTGGAGAAACTGCTATTCATTGAGGTCAGTGTTCGCAGCCTAGTCTCTCCCTCTTCTCACCGATTGGGGTTCATCTGGACCTGGGAGGCAAATGGACAAAGTTACAGTTTGTTCTATACTCAGAAAAAACTGGCTACTTCCTCCCAGTTCCAGTTGCAAACGAGTTAAAACGCAGAGTTTACGGCTTCCTGCAAACCCATTCCCAGGACTGGAAAGCCATCTCACTCAGTGTGTTCTGAGGGTGACTGCAACCATATGTCGCTGGGCAAGCCCGGGATGAGCTAAGGCATCTCCTTCATTTCGTCCTCACGCAGCCCTGGAACTGGGAGTTCTGGGGACCAAGAGGTTGGCATCTGCCTCCTGCATAATGAGTTACATCAGTCTCCCAAAGCATCCATGGGCCCGCGGCCCAGCCCCTTGGGCATCACGCTGTGCCTGGCACGAGCTAGTAATCCCGCCCCGGTCCTGACCCTCGGAGTTTACAACCTTAAGTCACACAATAATGACACAGATCCCAAAGGCGGGCAGTTAAATACTTCCACTTGTCTGCCAATCACAAGGGACCCATTGAGGGAGCCCCAGCGACAGACAGGGGCCCCCTTCAGCGAGCTTCCAGTCTGGTGGGACAACAGGTGAGACTGAGCAAGGGCTCAGGAGAAGCGCTCTCCCTTCCGTGGGCAAGGAAACATGGCCAACTGGGGCATCACGGAATAGACACTTGTAAAGTGCCTCTTGACACGAGGTCGGGGTTTCCATCTACTTGAGCGCCAAGTAGGTTCAGTTCTCCACCTGCGGGGCTCAGAGTCAGAGGCAACGGGGTCGCCCTGCGAGGGGTGGTGAGGGCGAAACCTGGGCTGGGAGGCGGGGGTCCAGGCGATCAGCAGCAGCTCGCCGCCCTCTCGCCTTGGGTGGCCGGGGCGTGTCACTGGCTCTCGCCTACCGGGGGCCTGAGGGTCCGCGGTGAAGGTCCCTCCTGGTGGTGGTGGGGTTTTAGGAATAGTCCCCCACCCTCGCCCGGATTGCTGAGAGT